CCTCATTTAAATACACATGGAGACCTACCAAACTCTGTCCGCATATACACTTTGACAATATATATATATATATATATATATATATATATATATATATATATATATATATATATATATTAAGACATTTTATGTTTATACATTCTTTTTATAGATACAAATATTTAAGCAAATGCTGTGTTTATAATGACGGCAGTATTAAACAATATTTACCGGCCTGAATGTCCGAGAAATTTTCATACAAAATATTCGTCCTCCGACAGGATTCGAACCTGTATCCTATACGGAACCATCATTTAGCCTGACGGGCTTTTACCGATTTCGCCGTTGAAGCTTAAAAGCAGTAAATGCTAACCAATCGATCGTCTATGAAAATTTCTCGGACATACAGGGCGGTAAATATTGTTTAATACTGTTTATTATAAACAGAGCATTTATTTAAATATTTGTATCTATAAAAAGAATGTTAAACATAAAAAAGTCTTTAAATAAACAGTTGTACTATCAAGGCAAATTTAAGGATTATATTTTGCAATAAGTATTAATAAAGTAAAAATATTCTTAGTTTTTCAGAATTTTTTTAATTAAATTAAGGTAAATTAGGGAGAAGATTAAGTGATGTAATTTAATGTCTAATAAACAAAATTGAGCAAAAGTTGATTTTTTTTTTTATAATGTAATTGTTATTTTAGTTTGAGATTAATTTATATATTTTGAATAATACAAGGTTTGGAGTTTAACCATTTTCTTTTAATTTAAATATTCTGAAAAACTAACTTTACTTCTGTTTATGAGTACTTATTACAAAATAAATTCTTTACATTTGACATGCTACAGTTCATTAGAGGACAAAAAGACTGTTTGATATTGACATCAGTGTCTACTTATATATATATATATATATATATATATATATATATATATATATATATATATATATATGTATCAGATATGAATGTATGTGAGAGATTCATAGAAGATTGAAGCTCAAATACACTAAATTCAACCATGCTAACTGAACGCTCCTCTGTGGCCAAATTGGTAAAAGGCACGTCAAGCTAAATGACGGTTCCATATAGGATACAGGTTTGAATTCTGTCGGAGGACGAATATTTTCTCTGAAAATTTCTCGGACATTCAGGCCGGTAAATGTTGTTTAATACTGTTTATTATCAACGGAGCATTTATTTAAATATTTGTATCTATAAAAAGAATGTTAAACATAAAAAAAGTCTTTAAATAGACAGTTGTACTTGCATCTGGAAATATTATGTTTATCTCAAAAAATATTTGAGTGTCTACTGCACCCAAATAATACTTAAACAATCCAAAATGATATTTCAGCTTTAAATAAACCGCACTGGGTTGATAAGCTGTAAAAAACACAAATCAATCTAACAATCCCTGATATGACATCCATTTGCAAAAGCTCAGTACGTACGTTACTCTGTTTTAACTTTCACTGTTGTTTTCTTTATAACCTAGGTGTGTCAAATTCTCCAAGCCTTCTTTCCTCCTTAATTGTTTTACCTGTTTGAACTGTCTTTTCCCTGATTCTAAATATAAGTATCATTTTAGGTTCCAAATTTCGTAGACGAAATGTTGCTAGGATATTTTCGGTAGGTTTCATAACTTTGAAATCATATTTTAAATCCCTTGTAGGATTATCTCGGAGATAGATAGATAGATAGATAGATAGATAGATAGATAGATAGATATGAAGTGAAATAGAAATTAATAAATTTATGTAAATGAAAAGAATATAGATAGATAGATAGATAGATAGATAGATAGATAGATATGAACAGAAACAGAGAGATCTATAGATATATATAAACATAGATAGATAGATAGATAGATAGATAGATAGATAGATAGTAACAAAGTAGAACTCTGAATAGACGTAGATAGATAGATAGATAGATAGATAGATAGATAGATATGAACAGAAATAGAGAAATCTAGAGATATATATAAACATAGATAGATAGATAGATAGATAGATAGTATCAGAGTAGAACACTGAATAGACGGAGATAGATAGATAGATTGATAGATAGATAGATATTAACAGAAATAGAGAAATCTAGAGATATATATAAACATAGATAGATAGATAGATAGATAGATAGATAGATAGATAGATAGATATAAACATAGATAGATAGACAGATGAATACATAGATACATACATATGAACAAAAACAGAGACTGATAAATTCATGTAAACAAAAAAAGATAGATAGATAGATATGAACAGACGGCGATAGATATCTCTGTATTTGTCTCTTTACATACACACCTACGTAAATGAAATAACAAATACATTTTTTTCAAACAAGTGCCCTCACCTCTACATACGAAAAGTTCTCAGACCAAAAATGTAGGACTTCTTATTAAATCTTCGCTTATTGTTCAGATATGTGGATGTAGGTCGGACAACTTTTTAGCACACTCACGTATATATATATATATATATATATATATATATATATATATATATATATATATATTACAATGAGTCATTGATACAAAAAAGTAAATTAGTAAAGTTCATGATATAAAATGGCGAAATCCTTCGCTAACAAAGTTTTCAACATGCATTAGTTTACTAATCACTCGATGAATACATTTGATATATATATATATTTATATATCAAATATATATATATATATCTCAAATATATATATATCAAATATGTTCAATATTGTATATATATATATATATATATATATATATATATATATATATATATATATATATATATATTTGAACATATTTGATATATATATGTTCAAAGTTTTAAAAGCGAATTTTATTAGCGATTCGCCATTTTATATCATTAACTTTCTAATTTACTTTTTATATGAATAATTGATTGTAATATAAATTGAACTGTGCCACATATTTGATTTAAAATAACTGATCCGACGTGCAAATTTTCGGGATAACAACTGAGACATTACTCTATTTATAGGTCCATCTGACGCGAGTCAAAAAGGCAGAGTCAGGCCCAGTTTAGACTAGAAACTAAATGACAGGTATAGGTCCATTTGGCACGAATAAAAAAGGCACAGTCAGGCCCAGTTTGGACTAGAATCCAAATGTCCATTTGACACGTATCAAAAAAGTCAGGGATAACTCCGGTTTAGACTCAAGTCCAAACTGCCGACATAAGTCTGGTTTAAATTTTAGACATAGGTGCAATTTCAGTCGGACACTTGTGACATACGTGATACCCGCTTGGGCGATTATGTCGCTGTCAATTCAGGAATGACTCGGCAGATTTTTCCTAAATAGGCTACCGTTTCTTTCTACTGCGATGCGGTTTACACTTGTGTGTAAAGAAGTTAGACATATGTCCGATTTGCAATAGCCAACAATGAAGCCATACCTACGGTTTACGTTAGAAACAAAAAAAAACAGAGACTGGCCCGGATTAAACGAAAATATATTCGATTAAGTCTAGAATCAAAAAACGCGGATATAGATCTCTAGATTGGTTTAGACAACAGTGAAAATGGTAGACATAGGTCCGGTTTAAACCCGACTCTACAAGGATTCAACGTAAGGTAGTTATTTTGGTTTGGTGATGATCTTAGCTTTGTTTTCCAAGGGAATGGTTTACTGACAAAGTAGACAAACCCTAGCTGAAAAATATGCGACAAATAATTCCAACGTCTCAATGTCCAGGCTATCATTCTTTTCTCTCCATAGATTAGGTTGGGTCGGTTAATTTAATGACAGGTCAGCACTTTTGGGGTTATTTAATCCGGAAAACAAGATATACGAGGTCTGATCAAAAAGATAACTACAATACGTACCAGTTTAGTATTTAATTTCTTTCGAAGTATTCCGCTTCTGAAGCTACGCAGATTATCGAGCATTGTTTCTGTTGATAAAAGCATTCCTGGAACCCCTTTTTTGTGGGGGGGGGATAGTGACCAGCTGCCTCATCGCATTCTCATAGATTTCTTCAGTGTATAGAAATCTTGATCCTTTCAAGCGGGATTTGATTTTTGAAGAGGAAACAGTCACAAGAGAAAGAGCTGGGAAATATAGTGGTTTTCAGACCTATTTTATGTACTAAAATAAACTATCAGTAATTTATATAGCAATTTCTGATGGTAAACCCAGTAAAAAAAATTAGATGCTATTTTATGACAGTACAAATATCCAGGATAGTAATTACTAACAACTCGTATACGACTGTACATGTTTGCTAGGGAGTCTAGGGAATCCCTGTTGTAGACGCCTACTTAGGCATATTTGTGTTTCTCCAACACTGGCAGAGCCAAAATATATATACCTGTTCAGATCTATCTATGCCTGTTTAGATCTATCTATCTATCTATCTATCTATCTATCTATCTATCTATCTATCTATCCCTGTTTAGATCTATCTATCTATCTATCCCGTTTATCTATCTATCTATCTATCATCTTTAGATCTATCTATCTATCTATTTAGATCTCCCTAGATCTATCTATTATCTATCTATCTTTATCTATCCCTGTTTAAATCTATTTATCTATCTAAATCTATCTATCTATCTATCTATCTATCTATATATATATATATATATATATATATATATATATATATATCCCTGTTTAGATCTATCTATCTATCTATCTATCTATCTATCTATCTATCTTTATCTATCTATCTTTCGATGTATGTTTAGATCTATCTATTTATCTATCCCTGTTTAAATTTATCTATCTGTCTATCTATCCAACCCTTTCCGAATCCTCTGCACTGTCCTCAGATTGACACTTAAACAATCTAAAATGTTCGTACTGAAGCTTCCAGGGCGAATGCCAAGCAATACAGCATGGTGTTTCCAATTTTCTGGCGGAGTGAATTGTGTCATGGTGTTCTTTTTCTTACAGACGGTGCCCAACTGACCCTACTGGACCGTGCAGTCGACAAAATCAAAAACAAACAAAGCACATTTACGAAATTAAAAATATAACATTGCGACAAATTACCAATCGTCCCTTGTATGTATCTATCGATCTCTATACTTCTGTTCATATCTATCTATCTATCTATCTATCTATCTATCTATCTATCTATATCTACATATCCCGGTTCAGATCTATCTATCTATCTATCTATCTATCTATCTATCTATCTATCTATCTATCTATCCCGGTTCAGATCTATCTATCTATCTATCTATCTATCTATCTATCTATCTATCTATCTATCTATCTATCTATCTATCTATCTATACCGGTTCAGATTTATCTATTCATCTATCTATCTATCTATCTATCTATCTTCATCTATCTATTATCTATCTATCTATCTATCTATATCCGGTTCATTCATCTATCTATCTATCTATCTATCTATACATACATACATACCGGTCCAGATCTCTCTCTCTCTCTCTCTCTCTATCTCTCTCTCTATCTATCTATCTATCTATCTATTGAACTCTGTTCGTATCTATCTATCTAGCTATCACAGTTTTCTTCCTTAAACATTATAGAACGAAGGAGCGTTTTTGATCCATTTAATTCTTACAAATGAAAAACAAATACAATAAATACTAATACTTAATTTATATAATTAATAAACTCTTTATATATACGCAATTAATTATTAATTATTAATTAATATATACAGATATTTACCGTAATACAATAAATTAATCGGACTATTCTATCTATCTTGTTTGTTATATTTCACAGTATTTCGGCCGATGTGCGCTCTGGCCTTCTTTAAATATCTTGCATATTTTAAACTTCTGGAAATTTCTAAATGAATATTTCTTTCTGGTTCCCTTTGCTTTATTCTTATCTTTCTTCTTTTCATATTTCCTTTTTTTTCCTTCTCCTTTCAATTCTATTTAAGTTAGCCATAATGTTCATTCTTTTTCTTACGCATAACGACTACAAACATCAATTTCTACGGCGTTCACTTCCCTATCTTTATCTTCTTTTTCCATTCATGTTTTCCACTTCTTTTTCATTTTTTTTTTCTCTTAGTTACGTCTCTTCTGGTTGCTTCGAAATCATGTCTAATCTTTGTTTCGTTCTTCCGTCAGTTCCTTTTTGGGATCCATCTTTTTTAATACGCCACTGCCAAATGTTTCAAATTTCAAAAGTTTACCCGCACCCTTCTATCGAAGTCGGGCGCTTCTTCCGCCATATGAAGAATTTCATGGTTGTATTGAGAAGACCCCGATAATTCTGCAATGAAAGCCAGGGAATTACTGCCATCTTAAACTCCAATCAGTGCCCATTTGACACGTGATAAACAGTCTCCATCTTTTGTTTCTAACTAAAGGAAACATATGGCATGATACCACCTGTTTATCGGGCCCCGCCTGACACGCGTTCCCAACATGTGACACGTTAGTTACGACTCTCTTTTGTTGGTTGGTTGATTTTGTTTAGCGACATATCAACACCTCTGTGGGCTATTTAATGCTGAAATCTAAATATTTTGTATGTAATTTTATCCTTTCTACTACAGATAATCAGATAATCTGTACATAATTATTTTATATATATATAAAGTTATATTTATATATATATATATATATATATATATATATATAGTATGTGTAGATACTAAAATTTATTCTATTTACATCATTCGGACTGTTGTCCTCATCGTTGTTTCGGCCGTTGTACTCTCTGGCCTTCTTCAGGTGGTTGAAATGTCGAACTGGACTCTTTATTTCGCTCGCTGTAAACTAAGAAATCTTTAACTTTTGACGATAGGATGAACCAGATCTAAATCTGTAACGAAAGTTTTGGTAATCCGTATGGATAATCTCAACGAGGATGAAATCCGGAGAGCTCAATGTTAAATCAGAGCGAATAATTTAATTTAAAGAAAAAACAGACCACTAGTTATAATTTATTTCACCAGATTCCATTAGTTATAATATATTTCACCAGAGATTCCTTTAGTTATAATTTATTTCACCAGAGATTTTATTTTTCCATGGAACAGAAATAGAAAGATCGATAGATACATATAAAGATGGATCAATAGATAGATAGATAGATAGATAGATATGAACAGATGGAGATAGATATCTCTGTATTTGTCTCTTTACTTACACAGAAATGAGGGAAAAAATTGAAAGTTGAAAAAATGAATTTAAAATTTACACTTTTGAAGGGCAGTATTAAGCTTATATAAGGTGAACATAGAGGGTGGTGAGGAATAGTGTCAGAGACATGGTCGAGTATAGAGAGGGAAGGGAGAGTTTTAAAATGTATTTCTATTTTTATACAATACTTAATATTGAGGAGGAGGAGGGGTTAAGGATCAGACATTGACCTATTTAATCGGTCAACTCACCGGAAATGATATGGAAAAAAGGAAGAAAAGAAAAGAAGAAAATAGATAGATAGATAGATAGATAGATAGATAGATAGATCACACACACACACACACACACACACACACACACACATATATATATATATATATATATATATATATATATATACAATGAAAGGTACATAGATATGAAGAGACAAGGATAGACAGTACATAGATATGAAGAGACAAGGATAATCGTGACAGAGAGTAACAGATCTAAATAGAGAGATAGGGTGAGATCGAGATAGATAGATAGATAGATAGATAGATAGATAGATATGAATAGACTGAGGTAGATATTAACAAAGGGTATAGATATAAATACTGAGAGAGCTGGCTTAATTGATGAGACTTCTTGTTGCTCGTTAACCAGCAATGATCACAATAAATCTTTACTACGTATCACGAATGAATAAATTTCTAATATATATCTGAAATCCGACGAAAAATCCATACCATCCACATGGCCGTATTACTAAAATCAGCAAGAATGCCGGGGACAGCGTTAGCGTTTGGTGGAGACTTGCTCTCACTCATTCGCCAATGATGACCGCAAGAAAGCACTGATTGGAATTGGAAATTCGAGGAAGAATCGAAATTATCCAGAAGACAGCATTACTAAAATCAGCAAAAATACTGAGGAGGGTTCTGGGGTTTTTCAGGTGACTTGCTGTCACTCGTTCGCCTGAAATGGCCACAGCAACTTCCTAGTTTGAGTTGGAAATCCGTGGAAAAATCGAATCCCTCCAGAGGACAGCCTTTCTAAAATCAGGAAAAATACAAGGGGGAGTGCTGGGCTCTCACACATTAGCCAGCGATGGCCACAGCAACGGTCTACGGTGAATTGGAAATTTGAGGAAGTACTGAAATCATCTAGACAATAACATTACTAAGATCAATAAGAATACTGTGGAGAGTGCTGGACTTTTAAGTTGTTTTGCCGTCACACATTCCCCAGCGATGACCGAAATAACGTCCTCATGTGAATAGGAAAATCAGAGGAAGAATGGAAAGCATCCGAACGATAGCATTACTAAAATCAGTAAGAATACTAGGGAGGTTGCTGGTGCTTTGAGGAGACAAAAAAAAAAAAACAATCCAGAAGACAGAATTGCTAAAATCAGAAAGAATACTGAGGAAAGTCCTGGAGTATTAAAGAGACTTTCTGTCACTCGTTCAAGTGATCAAAGCATGAAGATGTCAAATGGAGATCAGTGGAAGTATTGAAACCATCTAGATGACAGCATTGCTAAAATCAGCAAGAATACTGAGGAGAGTCCTGGAGCACTGAGGTGGCATCATGTAACTCATTCAACAGAGATAACCACAAGGAAGCATGAAGATCTGAAATACAGATCAGTTGAAGTATCGAAACCAGCCAGACGGCAGTGTTGCTAAAATCTACAAAATACTGAGGAGAGTGCTGGAGTATTGAGGTAACTTGATGTCACTCCTTCAACAGACAACAAGAAAGCATGAAGATATGAAATAGAGATCAGTGGAAGTATCGAAACCGGCCAGACGGCAGTGTGGCTAAAATCAGCCAGAATACTGAGAAGAGTCCTGGAATATTGAGGTGTCATTCGTTCAACAAAGATTAACAAAGAAAGCATCAAGATCTGAAATGGAAATCCGAGGAAGAATCGAAACAATCTAGATGGCAACATTACTAAAATCAGCAAGAATACTGAGGAGACTCCTGGAGTATTGAAGAGACTTGTGTGTCACTCGTTCAACTGACAAAAGTATGAAAATGTGAAATGAAGATCTGGAGAAGTATCGAAATCATCTAGACGACAACATTGCTAAAATCAGCAAGAATACTGAGGAAAGTCCTGAAGTATTGAGGTGGCATCATGTAACTCATTCAACAGACATGACCACAAGTAAGCATGAAGATCAGAAATAGAGATCAGTTGAATTATCGAAACCAGCTAGACAGCAGTGTTACTAAAATCAGCAAAATACATAGGAGGGTGCTGAAGTATTGAGGGGACTTGCTGCCACTCGTTAAACTTTTCATGATCAGCAGAGACCTGTGAAATGAAAATCTATCTAATAAGTGATATACGATTTTCAGTAGACCTGAAAGTGAAAGTGAAAGTGAAAATGAAAATGAAATTGAAAGTGAAAATGAAAGAAAACCATAAGAATATAACTGTTCAGTTAAGTATATGTCTACACACAGAGACACACACATATACACAGACGTACACGCACCCCCACTCCTCCCAACAGACACACCTGGCAAATATACAAGACATTTTTGGAAAAACGATTTTTTGACAGCGTAGCTAATCAAATGGCGCCATCAGAAAAAGCGATTTACATATTTACCATCTTACCACTTTTACATCCTATATATATATATATATATATATATATATATATATATATATATGTGTGTGTGTGTGTGTGTGTGTGTGTGTGTGTGTGTGTGTGTGTGTCTCAATCTCATAAACGTGTATGCAATAAGAGTAATAGTAAGAAGGAATTGTTCTATGTCCCGTGTCCCTTCATGACCTGGGTGATAATGGCTCTCCACAAGGTCCCATTTGTTTTAGCTTTTAGAATGTTGTGTCTTTTTTACTATCTCTCTCTGTCCCAGTTCTGCGAAATATTTGCACAAGCTCGTCATGTAGTGTACTCGATATCTCTCTCTTTCTCTCTCATCTTCTGCCCTGTCAAAATCAACAAATCTCTCCTCATTGTGTGTCCCAGAAATTTCAGCTGTGTCCTTTTTGTTTCTAATTATGTAAAAACTTCGGCCCATAGTATTCTCAGCATCCTTCTGTAGAACCATATTTCGGTTGCTTGAAGTCTCTTTTTCATCGGTGAGGAGATTGTGCAGCATTCAGTACTATATAGGAAGACTGATACTCCATATAGGACCGGTTCACTGACCAGGCAAGAGCAAATAGCATAGATACGGAGCCGATTATGTCGGGTACATGTCACAAACGAAGAAGGAAATGAAAACGATGACGGATGAAAAGGAAGAATTGAGAAAAAGAAGTAAAAAGAAATGAAAGAAAGAAAGAGATGAGAAAAAGGAAGAAATAAAAAGGAAGAAAAGGAAGTAAGAAAGGAAAGAAAGAAAGAAAGAAATGAGAAAATGAATAAAAGGACGAAAGAAATGAGAAAAAGAAATGAGAAAAGGAAGCAAAGAAAGAAAGAAATGAGAAAAAGGAAGAAAAAGAAAATGCGAAAAAGGAAGAAAAGGAAGTAAGAAATGAAAGAAAGAAAGAAAGAAATGAGAAAAAGGAAGAAAAGAAAGAAAATCTGAAAAGGAACAAAAGGAAGTAAGAAATGAAAGAAAGAAAGAAAGAAAGAAAGGAATGAGAAAAAGGAAGAAAAGAAAGAAAGAAAAATGTGAAAAGGAAGAAACAACTGAGTAAAAGAAGAAATGAGAAAAGGAAGAAAGAAAGAAATGAGAAAAAGAAAGGAATAGGAAAAAGGAAGAAAAGGACGAAAGAAAAACGAGAAAAAGAAAGTAAAAAAATGATAGAAAGACTTAAAGAAACAAAGAAAAGAATGAAAGAATTAATGAGATTAGATAAAAGGATGAAAATCCGTAAAAAGAAGCAAAAAATGCGAAAAAAGAGAAAAGAAATGAAGAAAAAATAAAGTAAAAGAAAGAAAAGAGAACAAAAAAAAAGAACAAAATAAAAAGAAAGAAAGAAATTTGAAAAAGCATGAAAGGAATGAAAAAGACAGAAATAAAAGAAAGAAGGAATGAAAGAAAGAAAAAAGAAAAAACACAACTAATGAGAAAAGAATGAAGTGAAATTAAAAAAAAAGAATGAATCAAAATGAGAAAAAGAGATGAATAAAAAATGATGAAAAATAAAGAAAAGAGGTCAAGCAATGAAAGAAAGAAAAAATTGAGAAAAAGTATGAAAGCAAAAAATAAACTGAAGAAGTTCTGACCAATATTATTAAAAGAACTAGCAATTGAGTTATTAACGGTATTCCGTTGAACTTTGTGGAAACGACTCCCCAGAGGTTGCTTCCCTGGATACTACAATCTTGGTCTGTTCACGTCAAGCATCAGTCCATATCTACGCTAGCGGGCCTCAAAATATGTACTGCTTACACCCTCTTCAGCGTTAATTACAACGATCTCGCTCAGTAAACCTCTACCTTGAGTTGCTCTTGGGCTTTGTATTGAGTGAATTAACAGTACGAAACAATAATTGAAAAATGCCTAAAATTGGTTGCACTTACCATTGTCAGAGCCACCGGAAGACAAAATTAAAGAAAAAGAAAATACCAAAAATTGGAAGTATCCAGACGACATCATACTTATTATAAAACCCAGGTTGTGTGTGTGTGTGTGTGTGCGTGCGTGCGCGTGTGCGTGCATGCGTGCGTGCGTGCGTGCGTGTGTGTGTGTGTGTGTGTGTGTGTGTGTGTGTGTTTCGTTTATATATTGGATCGGATTTCCTACATTTTTCAACCAATTTCAACAAAACTTCACAGGACTACGTAAAATTACCTTGCGGTGGTTCTGACACCGCCAAAAATTGTCACAACACAATTGTTTTTGCAAGAAATCAATTTGAAAACACGATTAAGAGACATTAATGAAAGGGGGACAACTCATATCGAGTTATACTTATTATAAAACACAGGTTGTGTGTGTGTGTGTGTGTGTGTGTGTGTGTGTTCCTTTATATATGGAATCGGATTTCCTACATTTTTCAACCGATTTCAACAAAACTTCACTTTTTTTTGGCAGGTAGTGTTTCTTATTGTCTTGCACACTTTTTTTCTTTATTTTTACATTCAGAATGCTTTTAAAATTCCATTTACAAGACAATTGTTTATAATAAAATTCTATTCAATCGGTAGACTCATAACGTTTGGGTTTGACTAATTCGCAAAAAAAAAAATAAAAAAATAAAAACTAATTAAGACATGCGTGTCCGTCAACCATAAACAAAAATATTTGTCAATTGTATTTTTCAGTCTTTATGATGGTCGATACTTGATCTGTCTCTTACTGTTACATGCCCGGGCAACGCCGGGCTCTAGTGCTAGTCATTACTAAAATCGTTGATTAATGCACTGTCAGTTGCTTCCACCATCCCCAGTGAAAACATCTCCAGATTACTGATAGAGAATTTCACTGGGGTCATGATGCTACTGACGGGGAATATAAATTCCATCCAAACAATGGATTTTCTCGATTTTCCTTTGTTTTCAACGCCACAAAAATCGCGCCGATTCTCAGTCGATAAATAATTGAATTGCAGGTATATTGGTGCGGACAGAGAGGTGAACGGGCTTAAGATGGCACTTGGCCATCGGAAAGATACCATCCAACAACGTGACATCAGAGACAGTGCAAGTGAATATTCCCCAATCGTTTTTCGCAATAAACACGCCCGTAAAAAAAAATAAAAAAAAAAATAACCCCAGACTATCCTCACTAACACTATCAATACCCGCTCTTGAAAATCGGCTTTGCTCGACTTTTTTCTTTTTTTTTTTTTTTTTTTCGACGTAACTGGCCATCGTCAGTCTTTTTCCCAATGATCCATTTTCCGATTTCCGGTACTGGTCGACATTCCGGATTTTATAGCTAACCTTATTTGGGTGACAGACGACAGGCGTTGGGCGAGAACAAAACTGTTATATCTGCGAAAGGGTAACCCAGAAAAAAAAAGGTGGGGGGGGGATTTCTTGCGTGCAAGAAAATGAGGGTATTGCGTGCTGGGGAAAAGGGCTGTTGAAGCGAAATGACGATAGTTATGGCGGAGCTGGTTGGTGAAAAGGATGAGAAAGATTTACTACGATTTGCCCTTAAAAATTCTCGTAGAAGAGAAATGATAGAAGAAGCTAGAAGCTAGAAGCCAAAAATACGAGAAGAGAAAGAACGAATAAATACGTTAAGGAATAATTAAATTTTAAGACATTAAGATGGACGAGAATACGTGAAGTTCCAACATTCGTAAACAACTGACAGGTTTATGAAGTAGATCGAAGAAAAAAAATGAATGAATAAAAAATAATGAAATAAAAGAAAAAAAAAATATAAATAAAAGAAAAAAAAAACGTCTAAATAATAGTCTCAATAAATGAATGAGAATACCCAAAAAAATGAGAGGGGAGTGTCAGAGGTCAGTAGGAATTGCTCACAGATTATTCCATAAAAAAAAAAAAAAAAAAAAATCGAAAATTACGAAATGAAGGATTTTCATTGGTCCGAAATTAAAGCAAATATTACTGATAGATGGATCTTATGCGATGGATAAATTGTCGTCTAAATTTTGCAAAAATTACGATAAAATTACGATCTCATTTTAATAGATATATCTACCAGAATTGCACAAAAATATCTTGAAATACTAAACAGTAAATTTATTCAATAAAATCGTCTTTGCCTTCAACCGCGGTCTCCAGACGACTTTGGAATCTCCTGCAACTCTTCTGGACGGTCTCCTTGTTTAAGTTGGTGAATGCTTCCATAATCCTTGTCTTAAGTTCATCTTTGGTGTTACAAAGAGTTTTCTTGATCTCTCGCTCAACTTCGCCCCACGCATAATAATCAAGAAGGTTGCAGTATATAATGGGTGATGTGGTTGCAGCAGTTGTCTGACAGCCATCACTGGGTTCTCCTGGTGTGTCAAGGTAAAGAGTCGTACTATGTGACCTAGGGTCTTTCAGCCTCAAACCTCTTGACCCAGGGCAGTACTACCCCTCAAGGCACTTGATGTTGGCCTCCGTGTTGAGTCTAAGACCCTCAACAACAAAGTCGGCTGTTCTTTTCTCATCTGAACGACCTTCGTAATCACAATTAGACTCATCCAACTCTTTCCGAATACTCTGCACTGTCCTCAGATTGACACCCAAACACAAATGTTCGTATTGGAGCTTCCGTTGTAAATGCCAAGAAGTACTGCATGCCATTTCCAAATTTCTGGCAGATTGTATTGCCCTATGGTGCTCATTTGCTCACAAACGGGGCCCATCTGACGCTACTATAATGGGCAGTCGACAAAATCAAAAACAAACAACACGCATGCGCGAAATTAAAAATATAAAATGGCAACAATTTACCCATAACACTCTGTATCTATAACAGAAATACGACATGAATACAAACTGTATCATATATCAGGAACCAATGGATTGCCTGGTAGGAAATTAAAACAATCATTGCTAAGAAAATCGGGATATTATATTACGATTTAAAATATATAAATTTTCATAAGTACAGTCATTCAGAGAACTCAATTGCAAGGAGAATCTTGCATTATCAGCAGTAATAGTGACTGTTTACAAATTCGTTACACTATTGCTTGCGTCAAATCCTGACCACTGAAATTCCATTTCTTTCTTATTCTTAGTGGATTATATAATAAAATGATTAAAAATGTATAATATATATATATATGTGTGTGTGTGTGTGTGTGTGTGTGTGTGTGCGTGTGTTTCTGTGTGTGTGCGTGTATTTATCGGTTTCACCCCAAGCAAGGCAGTAACTTATAAATTGTTGTTTACGAATGTTGGAACTTCACGTATTTAACATAAATTGTGTATTCGATCTTTTATATAATAGGTGTATTCTGTATTTAACATAAATTGTGTATCCTATTTTTCATATAATTACTGTATTCCGTATTTAACATAAATTGTGTATCCCATTTTTCATATAACAAGTGTATTCTGTATTTAACATAAATTGTGTATTCCATTTTTATATAATAGGTGTATTCCGTATTTAACAGAAATTGTGTATCCCATTTTTCATATAATTAGTGTATTCCGTATTTAACATAAATTGTGTATCCCATTTGTCACATAATTACTGTATTCCGTATTTAACATAAATTGTGTATCCCAATTTTCATATAATTACTGTATTCTGTATTTAACATAAATTGTGTGTCACATTTTTCATACAATTAGTGTATTCCGTATTTAACATAAATTGTGTATTCCATCTTTTATATAGTTAGTGCATTCCGTATATAACTGACCAGTAATTTAGAATCACTCGATGAGATGTATTGATACGCATAGAAACACGACTGCAATTGTGCAGCAATTTAGATATATTTTCTGTGCAATATCCTAATACACACTAACACACACACTAACACACACACACACACACACAACACACACACACACATATATATATATATATATATATATATATATATATATATATATATATATATATATATACTAGAATTCGATAGGCATTTTACGAATTAGTTTTACTGAAGAAGATAGAATCCTTCATCTCTAGTAAATCCAATTATTCTTTAATAATAACCAGAATAGTCACCCAAAACTACCGATCTAGTTTATCGCTTTCCTTACCGTATTGAGCATTCCACGTTTTAGTCTTTCTACTCGTCTGTGTTTTTTTTTCTTTGGACTTGGAGCTTAAACATTTAATTTGTTTCGTCTTGTTCTGATGTTTTTAGTTCCTTTATTTTTATTTCCAATTTTTTCCCCAGGTACATATTTGTCCTGATATATCTGTAAGTTGAGCTATCCGAGGTTTTTCCAACTACTACTATTAATATATATATATATATATATATATATATATATATATATATATATATATACTACGCTCTTATGACACTTAAATTACCGTGTTTCTCCCTCTCTCTCTCTCTCTCTGTGTCTCTCTCTCTCTATATATATATATATATATATATACCAGAGAGAGAGAGAGAGGGGGAGAGAGAGAGAAAGTCACTAAATTTTAAGCATAGTACTAGACTGGCAACTAAGTAGTCTTCTGTGGAAGACTATATATATATATATATATATATATATATATATATATATATATATTCATATATATATATATTCATATATATATATATATATATATATATATATATATATATATATATATATATATATATATACATATACTATATCTATATATATATATATATATATATATATATATATATATATATTCATGTACTATATATATATTCATATACTATATATATATATAGTCTTCCGCAGACAGACTGTTTCGCTGTATCGCAGATCATCAGTGTGGCTAGACATCCGATCGCTTAAGGCCGGGGCCGAAAACCGACCGATTTGATATCAGTCGGAGATTCTAACCCCTAGTCCATCGACGCCCGGCAGGGAGAAAGGTGTACTTATTTGTTCATAAGTACAGTCATTCAGTGAACTCAATTGCTAGGGGATACACAATTTATGTTAAATACGGAATACACTAATTATATGAAAAATGGAATACACAATTTATGTTAAATACGGAATACAGTAATTATATAAAAGATTAAATGCACAGTTTATGTTAAATACAGAATACACCTATTATATAAAAAATGGGATACACAATTTTTGTTAAATACGGAATACATTAATTATATAAAAAATGGGATACACAATTTATGTTAAATACGGAATACACTAATTATATGAAAAATGTGATACACAATTTATGTCAAATACAGAATACATAATTATATGAAAAATGGGATACACAATTTCTGTTAAATACGGAATACACCTATTATATAAAAGATGGAATACACAATTTATGTTAAATACGGAATACAGTAATTATATGAAAAATGGGATACACAATTTATATTAAATACGGAATACACTAATTATATGAAAAATGGGATACACAATTTATGTTAAATACGGAACACAGTAATTATATAAAAAATGGGATACACAATTTATGTTAAATACGGAATACACTAATTATATGAAAAATGTGATACACAATTTATGTCAAATACAGAATACATAATTATATGAAAAATGGGATACACAATTTCTGTTAAATACGGAATACACCTATTATATAAAAGATGGAATACACAATTTATGTTAAATACGGAATACAGTAATTATATGAAAAATGGGATACAAATTTATGTTAAATACGGAATACACTAATTATATGAAAAATGGGATACACAATTTATGTTAAATACGGAACACAGTAATTATATAAAAAATGGGATACACAATTTATGTTAAATACGGAATACACTAATTATATGAAAAATGTGATACACAATTTATGTCAAATACAGAATACATAATTATATGAAAAATGGGATACACAATTTCTGTTAAATACGGAATACACCTATTATATAAAAGATGGGATACACAATTTATGTTAAATACGGAATACAGTAATTATATGAAAAATGGGATACACAATTTATGTTAAATACGGAATACACTAATTATATGAAAAATGGGATACACAATTTATGTTAAATACGGAACACAGTAATTATATAAAAAATGGGATACACAATTTATGTTAAATACGGAATACACTAATTGTATAAAAGATTAAATGCACAATTTTATATGAACGGTTCAATGCCATTGGATAGTAAAGAAAAATATTTTGACAACTGAATATTGATGCTATGAATTGAAATTACTCGAATATTTTGTCTAATGCTGGAGTAACGTCTCTGTCATCTGCACATTTGTGCCGGATCGCCCTGGCCAGTGAGAAATACTTCCCTGTCTCGCGTCGGTCCCATTTTCAACCAGAAACGATGAGCATCGACGATTATCCGCACGTTCGAAAGAACGTCCCTTATCAGTTTTGTGGGGTAGGAGTGTCTGCAAACAAAAATGTCCCGGAAACAGCAGAATGAGCGAAAAAAAAAAAAAACTCTCCGAAATGGAATGCAAAAATCAAAACCGGAAATAAACTCGAAAATATCTCCTCATGCGCATGCGCATCCTACCGACACCCGATCGTAATTTTTTGTTATCCGTCACTCCGTCAACCCCTACCCTTATAAGACAACTCCCCGTACATGGCGGTGAAAAATTTCGCGATTGTTCTTGGCAGCTTTAGCCACACCCTGATCGTTTCGCATTAACTGAATTCGGAACCTAATTTTTCGGATTTTTAACTTCTTTTTGATTTTTTCTTATTTATTTCCGTTTCGACTTGAAAAAAAAAACACTTAAAATAATTTTAAAATAGAAAAAGAATGTTGTATCTAATTAATAAAATACTGATACGTATTGTCCTAAAATATTAATACGTAATGTCTTATCGCTAAACACACGACAAAAAAATTATGTTCACACCGTACAAGGCCCAAGAGCCACTCGAGGTAGAAAGTTACTGAGTAAGAGACAGCACACCAGGCAAGGATGATAATGCCACCAAGTGGCCACCGTAAGTAAAAGAGAAGGAAAAGATTTAAAATGACTTTAGAAGGAACCGGAAACCCAAACATAAACAGGAAACAAGAGATGCATTGAAAATGTTTTAGTAAAGAAAATCATTATGAATTATTTACAAGGGAAATATATAGCAAATTGTTATATTAAGGATATATGACTGATAGAAACTCATTGTAAATTGTTGTTATGCCTCCTGATTCCTTAGGGAACATAGAGCCGCAACAACACCTTTCTAACTGACGCGGTTCCGGCCAATCCTCTTCAGGTCGGCCCATGTCGTGCCGGCTGCCTTCACCTCTGCGTCAACACTTCTGCATTCACTCTCTTTTGGTCGACCCACTTTTCGCTTCTCTTGTGGATTTCAGTCAAGGGCCTGCCTGGTAACACTAGAAGCAGGCTTGCAGAGTGTGTGGCCGATCCATCCCTATTTTCGTTTCGTGTTGTCAATCTCGATTAGGGCTTGTCTGGTTCTGTCCCACAATTGGTCGTTCGAGACGACCTCCGGTCACCTGATATTGAGGATGCTCCGGAGACATCGGTCGGTAAAGGTCTGAAGTCTGTGGGGGTTGGTCTTGGTTATTTCGCCAGGTTTCTGTTGATCTCCAGATTGGCCGCAGAGTGTTGAATGCCTATCGGACGCATTGCAAATTAATTTGCTATTAAATAATGTGAAACCCGGGAAGGAAAAGTATTTTAGGCTATAAAGATATTCAAAATGATTTTCTACAGGTATACATTTGAAATTATTTTATCAGAGAAATGCAATGAAAATTATTTTATCAAGAAAGGCATTGTAATTAATTGTATGGTAGAAATGCGTAAACACATCAGGAATACTTTGTAAAGGTTTCCAAGAAAAATGTATTAAATTACATTTGCTATAGAGAGGCATTCTAAATCATGTTTTTAATAATTTCACCCAAAGCAAGGCAATAATGACACTAGCAGGTTTCAGTGAGAGAAATAGAATGAGAAGACTTTAGTTAGAACACGTGAGAAAAATTGATAATAAAGCAACAGAGGATGGTGATTAAATTCAAATTTTTGCTAATTGCCGTTGACCGGGAAGCAAGAAATCAGAAGGGAACATTATTAGAACAGAATTGACGGCTGCATCGAGCTCGTTCAACAGTAAAGTGGTGAGACCTAGTTACCAGTCTAGTAGCACGCTTAAAACCATGTAGTCAAGGCGGTAAAGAGAAAAAAGAAACTCTACTTTACTAGGAAAAATGAATTATAAAGGATTTCGGGACAGAAATGCATTAAAATATTTTGCGAAATTTAATTATGAATAATGTTAAATTATTAAATAATTATTAATTAATGCTAATATTGAATATTTAAGTAAAATAATAAATTGTAAATGATTTAGAAATGTACTGTAACTAATTATATTGACCTACAGATGTATTTAAAATATTTATTTTAATCAATCTACCCCAAGTAAGGCAATAACACCACTAAGATGCTTGGGGCTACTGGAAGTGAAAGAGAAGGAAATGTCTTTAAAAGGAACAGGAAATAAGAGTATAAATTTCAGAGTTTAGACAAAGTCGTTAGAAGGAATCGGTAACACAAATTTAGGTAGGAAACAAGAGATAAATCACTACTTCAGCTGTAGAAGCCGGGGAGGAGTGTGAATTGGGCGATGGCTGATTTACTATGGGTTAATGGGAAAACCAAGAAAAAAGATATTTTAACTTATAAATATAATGAAAATGCATTTGATATAGAAATGCATTTCCGAATGATTTACTTTTACAGGATAGTAATTCGTTGTAAATTATTTTACCATAAAAAGCATTGTAAACAATTTTATGACAGCAATGCATCTAAATAATTACACTGCTTCGGTCATGTCGAATGTGTAGTGGTTGGGCGTGGCATCAACACCAGTCTGCGAGTTATTGCCCGCGCTGTCTAAACAAATGCGTCGGGAGACAAACAAGCTGGCTGGCTGACTAGATCGTTAGGTTATGGATCGCTTACTCATGTCCTCAAAACTAGTTGCCAAGCATTCTTGCTAGTTAGGTTTGACGAATAGCAAGGTAAGCCGCTAAAAACATCTACGTCTGTCGATGGTGCGTGTGTCTGTGCTTCACAATTCAATACTGGTCCCTCTATTTACGGTTAGACCCAAGGACAACAACGCCCAACATTTACCTATAGACTCAAGCATAGCCAACGTAATGACTTACCTGGGGGCTCGTGTTTAAACATAACCAAAGTTCATAGCAAAAAATAAATAAAATATGTGGACAGACACTCTCTTGAGTTAGGACATTGGAGATGATGCTAATGTAATTTAATTGTATATATTGTCCCCACTTATCCTCAGAAATACCAAGGTATTTTCTCTCACATACACTTTTGTCTTATTTTCATTCTAACCCGAGGAAGCCAAAGAGAGCAGACAACCCTCAGCGAACCACGTCGTTGATAAATGTTTCACTTGGTCCCATCATCAACGGACACAAGTTTAATTAGTATCTCGAGTATTAACACTACTTATTTAAAAGCAATTTTACTTATTGACTCAAGTATATTTACTCAAATATATGGACTCAAGTATAAGCGCCACTAATGTTTATCTACAGACTCAAGTAAAAACATAATCAAATTTATAAACTCACAATACTGACCTATATAGTGAGGTGTAAGTGTTGGAATTTTTGGTTACCCTGGTGTACTAGTGCTCTAGCCAAAATGAGCTGACTCATTTTATAGTTCACCAATAGAAGGGTTAACCAATCAGAAGGCTCAAAATATTCAATGCGACGTATATAAAGGCGTCCATGTTTTTCCCCGAATATGCATTGCCAGCCTTTGATCTCGAAGACTGAATTGTTTCATTCAACAGATTAGGTACTGCGCTGTATTCTATATTCATAGACTATGGTGAATATGGTCAACAGTAAGTACCACAGCTCTTTATATATTTCTATCTTATCTACAAATATTTTCATGGAAATTATTCAGAAGAAGCCGTTGGAGTAGAAAAGAGTCGCTTACATTTATCTGTTTCGACACTGAAAGGGTAGGACTGAGATGCCAACCTGGTAGCACGTTTAAATTCATGCAGTCGGGGCACCAGTGAAAATAACTCGTCAGAGCCATAGCCATAAAAGTAGCCACAGTACATAGGTGAGAAAGTGTTTGGAGTCGAGACCTCAAGTCAGGACGGATCACATTGCATATCCGTCTTTGGATTTTGTCGAGAACCTCGAGATGAATAGTTGAGGTAACCGACTATATATGAAAACAGTATTCAATGCATGGACAAATGGCAGATCTGTAGATGTGAAGGATCGTCTCAGACGAGAAATACCTTCTGGTGTGACACGGAGAACCATTATATATATATATATATATATATATATATATATATATATATATATATATATATGAAATTTTCTCAGAGTTAACCTGTAGAAAAAAACAATATTTATAAATGTAAATGACAATAGGAAAACTATAGTAGTTGCTTACGCGTTTCAAAAGTCCACATTGGACAAAACGCGTCAGCAACTACTATAGTTCTTCTATTGTCATTTATATATATATATATATATATATATATATATATATATATATATATATATATATATGTATGTATGTATTGAGAATTTCACCCCAAGTAAAGCAGGCGTGCCACTAGTACGCAAGTGGCTACAAAGAATAAAAGGTGAACAAAAGGGAAAAAACTGCGTATAGGAGTGGGGGGTGAGGAAAGCATAAAAAGAAGAAAAAGGAGGATGAAAAGAAGGACGGTGATCAAGGCATCAGAAGATGTCGATTAACATTGCATTTAATTTTTTTTTTAATATTATAGCTATCAGGGCAGTAGGTAAGAGGAAGGGAATTCTACTGTTGGGAAGTGCAAGAGACGAATCTGTTGGAGTAGAAGATTCGGTAACATTTAACTGTTTCAACAGTAAAAGGGTGGGACCGGATTGACAACCTAGTGGCACGGTTAAATGAAATCAGTCGTGGTACTAGTGAATATATTAGGTTGGTGCAAAAATAATGACGTAATAATGTCGTTTTTGACGTTAAAAAATACGTCAAAAAACGACATTATTACGTCATTATTTTTGCATCAAACTAATAACTGTCATGAAAATATTTATAGAAAAGACAGAAGAAAAGCCACAGTACATTGGTGAGAAAGTGACTGGAATCGAGACCTCAATCAGGACGGATCATGTGGATATTCGTCTTTGAATTTTGTCGAGAGCCTCGAGATAAACAGATGGTGTAACAGACCATATATGAAAACAGTATTCCATGCACGGACGAATGGTAAATTTGTAGCTGTGAAGGATCGACTCAGACGAGAAATACCATTTTTCTCTGGCACTCCTTATTACTGGTTCCCATATTGTATTCATTTCTGTGCTTGGTCGGCTCAGGTGATTTTTGTGGCTCAGCATATCTGCTGATTCGTTGTGAATATGGCAATAAAGATGAAGATAACTGTCTGAATAATGTAAATAATGCCTCATCTCAGAGATATAGACAGAAACTTAAAGAGGTTAAAATTATAATGTTAGGGGCTGCATCGATTTAAAATGCGGCATCTGTTGAATACGCTGTCCGAACGAAACTTCTTTCTTATCAATGGAATACAAAGAGAAAGAGGATAGTTTCCCCCTGTGGATATGGTATGGCGGGCCTTAGCTGCAACGGTCTGAAATGGTGAAACTAGGAAAATGTGGTGTGACAAAATAGTTGCCATGGAAATAGCGATAGCGGTTCGCGAGGTTGCCAATGCGTAAGTTAAGTTATACAGGAGGAGAATAATTCGTACGAAATCGTTCTGTCTACCCAATATGCTATTAGAATAAAACTAACGGCTACATTTAGGTATTTCAACAGCAAAGTGAGACCTAACTGCCAATCTAGTTCTGCGCTTAAATTCATGAAAATGAGGTACCAAAGAGGAAATCTCCCACACTTTCAGTGCCAATTAATAAACTTCTGCATTTGTAACAAAAGACGAAAGCTCACACACTTTCACTGCCAATTAAAGGAACTTTTCTGTATTTGTAAGACAACGAGAGTTTCCTGGGATCGTGATCAGACTCTGATTGATTAAAGAATCAGAATAGATCGAATGAACTTTATTGCATGTGGAATAAATAATTACAAATAATAATTTTCTGACGTGTGGTCTTAGAATCATTGGCGCGGTTCGTTGACAGTTATAGCATTAATGTTATGTCATCTCCAGGAGAGCGAAATCAAAGAAGGACTTGATATTAATACAGGCGTTAGACAGAACAATGGCTTTGGAAACAGACACTAAGTATTACTGAAATGGTTTTGTCATCAATATCAATTGGAAGAAAAACAGTCATGAACATTGAACGAATGACCATAAAGAACTATCAATGAAAACCTATCATTCCTCTTTACATCTCTGAAGAGCCTGGGAGATCTTACTTGTTTCCTTTCTTGTTTAACAGTGAGGTTCACCCTATAGAAGGCCCAAGATGCTATTAGAATAGACCCAACGGCTAGATTTAGCGATTTCAACAGTAAAATGAGACCTAACTGCCAATCTAGTACTGCGCTTAAATTCATGAAAATGAGGTACCAAAGACGAAATCTCGCACATTTGAATGCCAATTAAATAAACTTTTCTGCATTTGTAAGGCAACAGGATACTTTACGGGATCGAATTGGAATTTTGATCTAGATTAATTACCGAATAAGATTAAATTATATCGAATCCGCATTCTGATATTGCTTGTGAAATAAATAATTACAAAGTCCCTTTGTTGACGTGTGTGATTGGAATCATTGGCGCGGGATGTTGATAGTTATAAACCTTGATGTATATCATCTCCAAGAGAGCGAAATCAAAGAATGACTTGATATAAATATCGTTGTTTAGACAGCACAAGTTAATAGCTTTGGAAACAGACATAAATATTAGAGAAATGGTTTGGGCATCAATAACAATTGGAAGAATAACAGCCATAGACATTGGACAAGCGACCATAGAATACACATTGAAGAACGAGATCAAAAGAATCATCAATAAAGGTCCATCATTCTTCCTCAAAGCTTTGAAGAGCTGGAAGATCTTTGTTTTTTTTGTTTTTTTGTTTTTTTTTTTACAGTAAGGTTCACCTTGTACCAGCCCCAGGAGCCACTCGAGGTAGAGGGTTACGTTACTGGTCAGTTTATACGGATAGGAGAGGAAGATGACGGTTAACTCGACTTGAACAGGTTAATAATGTGGTGATCGTGGAAATATTCTCTTGGGGGTCTGTGACACAGAGCAGTGGTTCGCAAAAAGTTGTTCAAATGGAACTTACATCTCACCGATGGGATACGCAGGGGATGTGGGATGTTTGCTACAATGTGACTGGTGTGGCGATTCCTATGAATCAAGGAATGTAGTTCAAGTATTTTCCATCGAAGTAGCGATAGAGGTTGGAGGGTGGAAAGTAATTCTTCGCCGACAAGGACTCGAAGAGGATTTTTGAACTTTATCGAGACTGGTCATCTCCCGCTCAAATATGATAAAAGTACGCCATTTTCGGCCCAATCTGGCTCTTATAAATGCAGAGGATAGCATGAGGAGTCAGGTACTTACTGGAACGGCACAGCGAGCCGATCATTTTTACCTGAAATGGATCGTATTTAAGAGTTCAATCTGAGGTTGGGTGTGTGTTGGAGGCCCAATATTCTCTCATCGTGACTGGGTTTGATCGGCGATAATGGAATATAAATAGTCTAAGGCAATTTTATCTGATATTTAACTTCAATGTACAACAACAAATCTTCAAACATCTCACTATTTTTAACTCTTATTTGTCGACAATAGTTTGTCACGCACAAGGACTCGGAGACGCTTTTCGAATATCGGGAGGAGGTTGAGGAGTGGGCAGACCTCGTCGACAACAGTACTCCAGTTTCAGTCTGATCTGGCTCTTATAAATGCAGAGAATAGCATGGGGAGTCAAGTACTTACTGGTACTAGATTGGCAGTTAGGTCTCATTTTACTGTTGAAATACCTAAATATAACCGTAAGTTCTATCGTAATAGCATCTTAGGTAGACAGAACGATCATTTTACCTGCGACCCGATCATAATTACATGCAATAGATCTTACTTATTATAAAACGCAGATTGTGTGTGTGTGTGTGTGTGTGTACGTTTATATATGGGATCGGATTTCCTACATTTTTCAACCGATTTCAACAAAACTTCACAGGGCTACGTAAAATTACCTTGCGGTGGTTCTGACAGTGCAAAAATAGGAAAAACACAATTGTTTTTGCAAGAAATCAATTTGAAAACACGATTAAGAGGCATCGCTGACGCGAGAATGAAAGGGGGACAACTCATATCGAGTTATACTTTTTATACAACCCAGGTTGTGTGTGTGTGTGTGTGTGTGTGTGTGTGTGTGTGTGTGTGTGTGTGTGTTCGTTTATATATGGGATCGGATTTCCTACATTTTTAAACCGATTTCAACAAAACTTCACTTTTTTTTTGGCAGGTAGTGTTTCTTATTGTCTTGTATACTTTTTTCTTTATTTTTACATTCAGAATGCTTTAAAAATTCCATTTACAAGACAATTGTTTATAATAAAATTATATTCAATCGGTAGACTCATAACGATTGAAAACAATGTTTTTGTTTGAGTTTGGGTTTGACCAATTCGTAAAAAAAAAAAAAAAAAATTAAAACATGCGTGTCCGTCAACCTTAATAATCTTTGTCAATTTTATTTTTCAGTTTTTATGATGGTCGATACTTGATCTATCTCTTACTGTTACTTTCTTTCTTTCTTTCTTTTTTTCTTTCTTTCTTTCTCCCCACCCAATTGCCTTTGCTCTTTTTTCAGTTTTTTTCCTCTTTTTCTTTTGGCTGTTCATCGATTTCTTTTTCTTTCTTTCTTTCTTTCTTTCTCTTTTTTTCTTTTTTTCATTTTTCCTCTTTTCCTTTCGTTTCTTTTTCAGTATTTTTCTTTCTTTTTTCTTTCTTTTTTCAGTTCATCGATTTCCTTTTCTTTTTCTTTTTCCTTTTTCTTTTGGCTTCATCTTTTTTTTCTTTCTTTCTTTCTTTCTTTCTTTTCTTTCTTTCTTTCCCCCCACCCCTTTGCCTTTTTTCAGTTTTTTCTCTTTTTTTTGGCTGTTCAGTATTTTTCCTTTCTTTTTTCTTTTTTCAGTTCATCGATTTCTTTTTTCTTTTTTCTTTCTTTTTCTTTCTTTCTTTCTTTCTTTCTTTCTTTCTTTCTTTCTTTCTCCCCACCCAATTGCCTTTGCTCTTTTTTCAGTTTTTTTCCTCTTTTTCTTTTGGCTGTTCATCGATTTCTTTTTCTTTCTTTCTTTCTTTCTTTCTTTCTTTCTCCACACCCACTTACCTTTGTTCTTTTTTCAGTATTTTTCCTCTTTTCTTTTGGCAGTTCATCGATTTCTTTTTCTTTCTTTCTTTCTTTCTTTCTTTCTTTCTTTTTTTCTTTCTTTCTTTCTCCCCACCCAATTGCCTTTGCTCTTTTTTTCAGTTTTTTCCTCTTTTTTTTTTTGGCTTTTCATTCTTTTTTCTTTTTTCTTTCTTTTTTCTTTCTTTCTTTCTCCCCCACCCACTTTTTTCTTTCTTTTTTCCTCTTTTTCTTTCATCTTTCTTTTTCTTTCCCTTTCCCTTTTTTCCTTTCTTTCTTTCTTTTTTCTTTCTTTCTTTTTTTTTCCCTCTTTTTCTTTTGGCAGTTCATCGATTTCTTTTTCTTTCTTTCTTTCTTTCTTTCTTTCTTTCTTTCTTTCTTTCTTTCTTTCTCCCCACCCAATTGCCTTTGCTCTTTTTTTTTTCTCTTTTTTTTGGCTCTTTTTTCTTTTTCTGTTCATTCTATTTTTCTTTTTTCTTTCTTTCTTTCTTTCTTTCTTTCTCCACCCACCTTTGCTCTTTTTCTTTTTTTCTTTTTTTTGGCAGTTCATTTTTCCTTTTTTCTTTTTTCATTTCATCGATTTCCTTTTCTTTTTCAGTATTTTTCCTCTTTTTCTTTTGGCTTTCTTTATTTATTTTTTTTGCTTTCTTTCTTTCTTTTTTATTTATTTATTTTTTTTTTTTTTTTTTTTTTTTTCTTTCTTAATTCACCCTTTCTTTGTTTGGTTTAGACTTTTTTACACGGATGACAGAACTGGATAGCTGAGTTCCTGTTCAGTTTGCACTCTGCCATTGCTAAAGGCGTGAAACTATCTCCCCCGTTATAGGTTAAATAACAATGGAGACCGAACTCTGTTGCAGGAGATGGCAACCAGCTGAGATGAAAAGCAAATTCTGAATTAAACACTGTAAAAATCTTGTTGAAAAACGCTGCACAATCTTTCTTATAAACAATCATAGCAAGGCTGTTTGCAGATATTTACAAATTGGCTACCAACAACGAGATAACTCGTCGTTATCAGTTTTTATTATAACATCGACTACGAGTTATCTCGTGCCGACTACGCGTTATCTCGTGCCGACTACGAGTTATCTCGTGCTTGGCATTTTTTGATCATTTTTCGTCTACGGTCGCAAGCAACGAGTTTATTCGCAATGATACTTTAGGAGTGAAAACAATGTCGGAGCTATAAATTAATTCATTGTTTTATTGGCTCAGTTGGCTATTATAAAATTGATGTTTGAAGTTAGATTTAGTAATTGACCTCTGACAATATATAAATAAAAAAAATAAAAAATGATGATCATCGTCTCTATCCGAAAAAATCTCAAAAAGCAGGTGTTAAACAACTTCGATTTTTCACATAATCAAAGCTTTCACATACTTGTATTTATCATCAGGAAAAATAAGCAAAAAGTACTCATCTATGCGCAACGTGTTTTGGCCAAATAGATCTGGCGGAGACTATCCCTCTCCACTTCAAACCACAGCCTATGACCTCTAAATTGAAAGATTGTCATAGTAACACTCATAGAGTGACCTGTCATGACTTTATGTCAGTTCTGTGCATTTACCACTGCTGGAAATTGTTGAACCTGTTGGTATTTGAATTGATACCATTACACATAATCAAAGCTTTCACATACTTGTAAAATACAAAATGAAAAGTGATAATAATAGTCGTCTATACCGTTGCATATAAAATAGACACCTGATAAATGGTAATATTTGGCATTCATTAATCGGGCAGCCAGTGTCACTCTCGGCTTAAATTTATAAAATCTTTTTTATTAAAAAAAAAATATTCAGGGAATTGGACTTCTCCGGTCCACTAAATGCTATAGCTCTTTCTCTGACAGAAGACGGAAAGTGCGACACCGAAACCCGAAGATGTATTGGGATGGCCAAAGATTCATTGCAAAAGCTAAGCAGAGTATCACGAGACAGGAAATTTCGTTGGAAACAAAGACAAGAGTACTGAACGCCTACGTGATATCTATCCTCTTTTACGGCAGCGAATGTTGGACGGTCTCCTCAAAGATGAAGAGACTCGAGGCAACGGAGGTATGGCTCTATAGAAGGATGCTTAGAATATCATGGACCAAGCGTGTGAGCAACGATGAGGTTTTGGAGAGGATTTAAAAAAGGAGGAAGCTTATACTTATCATCAGGAAGAGGCAGCTAAAATTTCTGGGCTGCGTAATGAGAAAGGAGGGCTTGGAGAATCTGATACTGACAGGGCGGATTAAGGGAAAGAGGGACAAGGGAAAGCAACACGTGCCATATTTAACGGGCTTAAGCAAGTTGATGACAGAAAAGGGTCTGGCAGAAGTAGCAAAGGGACAAAATTAATAGAGAGCTACAAGGGACAAGAGGAAGTGGAGAGCCATAATCGACTATGTCCTGAAGGGACACGGTACACAAAAGAAGAAGATATCAGTGATTCTTAACGTGGTGCCTGAAGCCGACAATGGCTCTGAGAAATTTTAAAAATGAAAATGGAATTCGCACAAATGGAAATAGGTGAGCTTTAAAATTGTATTTTTTACCCACTGGTGTAAAATTTTGAAAACACAAACTGCTTTACCTAATTTTTAAAGGCAAATAATCCAGAAATTATTTAACTATATTTTATTTTTATTTTTTTTATGATCTCTATGTATAAAACAGAGGATACCTGTGTGTCAGTCTATCTGTGTGATACCTTTTCACTCGAGGTCCATCCAACCGATTTTGACCAAATTTGACACATACATTGTACAATGAGATAGATTCTTAGCGTAAACAATCGATATTTTAAAAAAAATCAATAATCGATAAAGCCAATCAAAATCGATAAATTCAAATTTTCCTCCGATTTCGTTCAAACTCGGTATGTAGGTTACTTAAATTATTGTCATTTCTACACCACTGCGTTTAGAGAAAAACAGTGAAAAACGAAAAATCGATTTGAACACAAATTTTAAGCTAAAAACTTCCTCAATTTTCAAGCAATCTAATACAACCTTCATTCACCTGTACCTACTTTTTTCCATTCTTTCTTTCTTTCCTCTTTTTTTTTACTTTCTTTCTTTCACTCTTTCTTTTCTCACAATCTCCTTTATTCGTTTGTCCTAGTTTTACTCTCTATTTGCAATATCTTTGTTCTTTCTTCTTTTCTTTCTTTCATTCTTTCTTTCTTTCTTTCTTTTTTCACGATCTCCTTTATTCTGCGCTATCTTGCGAGTCGGTAGTTTAGCCTCCGAATTGAATTTCAAAAACTCCAAAACATTTGTGGTTTGAAGTGGGTCTTCATGTTCCCTGTTTTACTCCTTCATGTCCTCATCTAACTTTGATTGAATAAATACAAACTACTTCTGCTATATCAGTAACTGCATTAATTCAAAATGTTATAATGAAAATACTTTAAAGTAATTGAAGAACATAGTCTCTGTTACATCTAAACATGATGCTGTTTTTGCTCCATTCTAATTGAACGCTTTTTCTGATCAACTATATAGCTGCTAGTAAATTATATTTTCAAGTTGATTTTTTAACTGAAATTTAATTTAATTTATTTTTTTAAATTTATTTGAGACCAGCATTTTTTATTAATTTAAAGTGATTTGTTGCGTTACAATATGACAGAATTAATTAGCAAAAAAAATGTTATCTTATTTTTTGAAAGCTTTAATTTATTTGTATTATATCTGTATTTATCCTGTTAGGTGGAATTTTTAATTTTACTTATGTGGGTCTGGAATTTTTCGTGACACCAAAAGTGGATGACAAGGAAGAAGAGACTTAGAAACATTGTTCTAATCGAATTAATTTTCCGAAAATATCCATGCTTTTAGCGTTAAACGTAACACCCAGTTCGTGTCTTGATAATTATTCTGTCGCGCGAGCACATGCCTGCATACACATTTGATCCGTTTGCTCATCTGGAAGACAGGGCAGAATTTGTCAGCGGCAGACTCCAGTCCTGTGTCCGCGGGAACTGGCTAACGTTACGCCTGAACAAACGCCCGATTAGTCTGCTAATAATGCATCGTAAATGAACAAATAGCTAAACAATTAATGTATGACAGGAAAACGTGTTTCCGGGGAGACATCGCGAGTGAAATTGCCAGCAAGTGTTGGTTAGAAAATTTGGATGGATGACACCAGGGTTAAAGAAAGACGAGTCAAAAGAACTGTGTGGATCGTTGAGTGTGAGAGAGGGGAGAACGATTGTAAAACGGACCCCAAGTGGTGACAGAACGCTCGAAATCGGGACGTTGAAAATGAGAAGATTTTTTAAAAAAAATGTATATATATATATTTCTTTACAGACTCTTCCATCCCTCCGATACCACTTCGACCATTCATCGGCAGATGGTCGAGCAAATTGGCAAAGGACGAAGGAGAATCGTCATCCATGCGAGATGCAGCCATCGGAGACACCTGCGAAATCTCAAAATGAGCTTCGGGTTGCTATCAAGGGAGGTCACTCCTGATCATTTTATGTATGAGTGACGCTGTGTATGTGCGTCATTCACAGGAAAAAAATTGCTAAAGAAAATTTTCTAAATAATCATAGAAACATAGAAACCATTCTACACTTTTTTTTCCCCGTGGGATGAAAAAGATTATAAAGCTTTTAAAAACATGTAAGAAAGCAGTAAGTTAAAGATGCTGAAAACTGATTCGCTTTGGGTCGACGACATTCATCTGCTGTGTCGTTCGGTGATAATTTTGAATAATGAACTTTCAAGTCAGAAACATACACGCATCTCATACCAAAGAATTTCGTTCGTCCTGAGAATGACGATAAACTACATCTGGCAGTAAGGCTGCTGATCAGGGGGTTTTGAGGAACGTAGAACCACCTCTTAATTAGAGTTTTTTTCCAGGTTCACCCTGACCCGGGTTATTAGCACGTGTTAGGGCCCCAGCTATAGACAAATAGTTAACCCCAAATCTGGGGTCAAAACATTCTGAAAGTATGAAAAGAGATTTTAGATAGTATAAGTATCAGCAATACATTTTTGAAAAAAAATATCACCAGAAATAAATTTAATATATTAATTATTAGGAGGATTTGATAATCATATTTAAGAAATTCATCGAGACTGATAGAAATCTCAACAGAATGCAGAAAGCACTGGACGGCCGTTTCGTCCTATATTTGGGACTCATCAGCAGTGCGCATCCACTACCGAGAATTGAAACCCTGACAGTTAGGTTGTAAAGCAAACATACCAACTGTTCCACTGGGGCTCGGTGACGAAGTGATTTCAAATCTGACTCAACAAAGCGCCGCTCGCTCACATATTCCGTGGTGGAATTTAGCGGGTTTCAATTCTCGGTAGTGGATGCGCACTGCTGATGATTCCCAAATATAGGACGAAACGGCTGTCCAGTGCTTTCTGCATTCTGTTGAGATTGCTATCAAACTCGATGAATTACTTAAATATATATATATATATATATATATATATATATATATATATATATTCAGACATGTTTCATTAAATAATATAGACAAGTATTGCCCATTTATTTTGTGTAAATTCTTTTTGC